CTCAGCCTCCTGAGTAGCTGGGATTACAGGCACGTGCCACCATGCCCAGCTAATTTTTTGTATTTTTAGTAGAGACGGGGTTTCACCATGTTGACCAGGATGGTCTCGATCTCTTGCCCTCGTGATCCACCCGCCTCGGCCTCCCAAAGTGCTGGGATTACAGGCTTGAGCCACCGCGCCCGGCCCTACACTTTTTTTTAATGCTAAGTAAAATGTTGGGATTTTTCCATAATGCATATGTGTTTATTATGTTTAATTCATTTCACTACTAAATATTTACATTTTGGATTCTAAATTGCACAATGCTCAGAAGTGGCATGTGCAGAATCAGCAGATTGTAAGGAAGAGGGCAACTCAATAATGCGAATGGCCTGAAAGACAGATGACAATGTTCCTGCTAAATGTGCTCTTCAAGTGTATCTACAGGACAGTCTGACATTTTAAAAAGAGGAAAATGTTTCCAGGACTTGTCACTCCGTATTCTATACAACAGCTATTTTGATTCTCTTCTTCCAGGAGATAGGGCAGCCTTTTCCTACTATTGTTTAAACTTTGCTCCCTTTTGGTAAACAAATCCCTCAAGGCTGGGGTTTTTGAAAACGCCATTCATGCCCCTCCCCCGTTGGTTTCATTTATGTAGGTTCTTTTGTAAATAGTTTTTTCTTTCCCCAAATACACAATTGGTTTACCATATTGTCTGTTATTTTGAATTTATGCTATTGGCTTCCTTGTGTGCTCCAGTTCTTTCCTCTCACCGAAGATTGAATCCACCAGGTCAGGGGTCGGCAAACTTTTTCTGTAAAGTGCCAGATAGGAAATGCTTTGGGCTTTGACGGCTGCTACTCAGCCCTGCCGGGTAATGCGAAAGCGGCCACAGACAACACAGAAGGAAATGAGCGCGACCGTGTTCCAGTAAATTTTGGAATTTCATCTAATTTTCACGTACCACAGAGTATTTTTTTTTTTTATTTCTTTTCAGCCATTAAAAAACGTAAAATAAAAATTCTTAGCAGGCCTTACAATAACAGGCAGCAGGCGGGCGGTAGTTCATCACCCCAACGCTAGAGGAATGAGACCTTCTCGAGCCGCGAGGGTGAAAACCCCGGCGACTTCTCCCACCTGCGCGGTCTCTGGGAGGCAGCGTTCCCATTGTCAGGATTTTTCCGGGGCGCTAGAGCACCACGCCACCAGGAGTCTACGTCCTCCTCGGCAGCCCATCTATCAGTTCTGTGAAGGTGGCAAGAGTCCTGGCAAGGCTTTCAGGGCGCAGCCAAGTCCCGGACTCCAGCACAGAAACCCTATAGACACCTCCAGGCCCCAGCGAGGCGGCGCGGCGCGGTAGTGGCGAGCAGGTACGCACTCACCTGGCGCCAGTTCGAGTCCTCCCAAATACAGCGGAGAGGCGACGGCCAAGCGCGCGACTGTCCCCAGTGCGCCGCTACCCGCAGCTCGCTCCCCGAGAGGCCCACGCCCCTCCCGGGGTAGGGGGTGCCAGGTACGGGTGGCCACTGGAGGCCCCTCCACCCGGCTCAGCGCGGGGTTCCTGTCCCCGTTGGGGCGGAGCTCCGGCGAGCGTGGCCTCTGGCGCGCGCCCCTGATGGCTCCCGCCCTTCCCTATCGGGGGCGCGCGCGCCCCGGCAGGTCCTGGCGCGTGCCCGCTTCGCCCTCGCTCCGCTCCAGCCGGTTCCGCCGCCGTGCGCGCCGCCCGCGCTCCCGCTGCGGCGAAGCTGCCAGCCCGGGAGCCAATTAGCGCTCGGCGAGGCGGCGACCACTTCCTCGTCGTCCCGGCGCGCGCTCTCGACAGCTCGGGCGGCCGCTGGGCGGGGCGGGGCACTCTGCGGAGCCGCTCTGCTTGCGTCCGCCTGTCTCAGCCTAGGGTGGGCGCCGGACCTGGGAGGCGCAGGGCTGTAAGCCAGACGAAAAGAAACTTCGGGGTGTCCGGAGTGCCAAGTGGCGGCAAGCGGTGGACTTTTCTGCGGGGCCTTTAGGATTTGCAGCTCCAGGAAGCGAGATGTCGAAGCCGCCACCCAAACCAGTCAAACCAGGTGAGGGAGGTGACGGAGGCGCTCGCCGGGTCCTCCAGCCGTCGCGGTGCCGGCGCCTCCTCTGCCGCTTGGCAGCGAGGACCCGGCGCGCACCCGGCCCCGAGCCTGGCTTCCGAGATCCGCCCCAGCGTGATGGGAGCTCTTAGTTTTGCTGCGGTCGCTATTACGGGGGAGGGATTGATTTGACACCAAGAGGATTTTGAGGATTAAAAAATATGTTTTAAAGGGGAGTCAGCCTCACTTTTGCAACATTGTCATTCGCTGAAACTTTCAGAGGGTGTGATGGCAGCGTCCCATGGAAGTTTTCCGGAAAGACAGGGCCATTGATCTCCCTTTAAAAAATGTCTTGAAATGGTCTTTAGCCACTTCCTCTTTTCTCAGTGTTTGTCACTGTCAATTTAGGGTTCCTGACCGGCCAGAGTGAACGGGAAGTGCAATGCTTGCAGGGCGGGGTGCGCGAGCGAGCCTCCTCCGGGACTTCACCGAGGAGCCGCGTTAGAAACTGACCTTGGGATCTTGGGAAGAGCGTTTAGAAAACTCTGTACTCGCGCTCCCTCTGGAAAGAATCTAGCATGCGGCAGTAATCTCAGCTGTTGCTATTCGGAAGTGTAGCTATGTTATCTTTTCCTTCGCTCTCCCAAAGGCGTTGGCGAGCTAAACCTGAGAGGGCTGAGATTACTAAATTCTCAAAGCAGTTTTCTTGGCGGTTTGTCCTTGTTCACTTTTGCTCTGTTCTTAGAATATTTTCTGTGATATGCAGAAATAAGAGAATTATAAAAGACAGACGTGTTCTAATTAAAAACTGTAACATACTCTTCGGCGCTTTCATTTGGGTGGGTAATTAGAAAGGACTGAGTATTTCAATACAGTAACAACGCTTA